TAGGGCAATTAAGCCGGTTGACAAGACCGGTTCGCCATGGAAAGAATCTGGTACTGGAGACGTCATCTTTCTGGGGGTTAATATTATATAATTAGTTAGGGATTTTGACTATGCTGTATCAAGCATAAATGCCAATGTGCCAATGCTGGAGACAAGGATCTTGATCAATAAGAATGAGACCCGGGAAGTAGGGAGTCAAGATCATAGGTAGTTCCCCGGAGGGGGGGTTGATGCGCTCGAAGGTTCTTGGCCTCGACTAGAGCCCGTTCTCCAGGAATGGGGAATCCCCATTCCTTATTTTCTTTTTCCCCAATAGGCTATATCGCTAAAAGAAAATCATTAATTATTCCCGATAGTCGGATTTTCTCCATGAATAGGAATTATTCAACTAATCTGCAAAGAATGTAGACTAATAAAAAAAGGGGGGGGTTCTAGAACGACTGAAGGGACCGCAGGGGAAAAATGGACCGTGTCATGTGTACGATCGACGGGGCTTGTGGAGTGCCCAGGCTTGGAGAGACGGGGGTTGGAGAGAGTAAGTAGTATATGTTATGTGGTATAGGATATATAGGATGTAGGATATATGGAATATAGAATATAGAATATATTAACTATGAATTATAGAAAGAGATATAAAGAATTCCAAAGATAAGGATGTATTATTCAAGTATATAGTTCTAAGCTCATAAATATCATAAAAAAGGAAATAGTGGGGGAGGTGACGAGGTCTTCTGATCAGAAAAAAATCCCCCGAACCGGATTTCTCATTTCCCCCCCACCTGGGCTTTTTCTAAGAGAGTCCACCCCTTTGGATAAAGAGGCCTGCCCTGGTTCTGTTCTTCTGTGAGATCTTCGTTCTTGTTTCTCCCGTTCCGGTTTCTCTCCTATCCTACACACCCTTATACACTTATACACTTATTCTTATACATACTCGACCTCGGCATCCAGCATCCAGCATCTCGACCTCTCCCACATTCGAACAATTTCTACATTTCTACATTTCACCTTTTTTTTTTATAACGGTGAAAGGGACTGCCATATTTCACCTTTATTTCACCTTTTATACCTGGGCACTTCTCTGATACGTCACGCTCCACTTTTCTGCCACGGGAGCTGGTCCCCGTATCCCAACACCGCCACCTCGTAGTTCTCTTCCCCCCTCCGTCATTCCCCTCTTTAAATCCTGGAGGACAGTAAAATCGGTCTCTCTTTCTCTTAATATCTTTTTTTTTTTTTTCCCTACACATTTTGGAAGATGCGCAACCCATTCGATTTGGACTTTGAGAGTGTTGACGGAGACTCCGAACCCGCCCAGGATTTCGAGCTCCCCGAACATGTGGAGGACAAACAACGGGAACAACTGAATCTCAATTATCGTCCAAAACAAAGAGACGATGGGGATCGTTCTTTGCTGCAGGATGAGGACGAGGATGAAATGAAGAGTCGATTCATCGGTACCATTGATCAGGGTACAACGAGTACACGATTCATCATCTTTGACTGCACAGGCGTTCCCGTCGCCAAATACCAAACTGAATTCCACCAAATTCATGAACACCCAGGGTAGGTGTTAAAAAAGCCCCTCCCTTTACAATCCCGGACTCAATATTAATTTACCCCGCACCCCCACAGATGGCACGAACAAGACCCTTACGAATTGGTTGAATCGGTCTATATCTGTATCGAAGAGGCCATGAAGTCCTTCCTTGCCCTCGGCTACTCCACATCCGACATCGAAGCCATTGGTATCACCAGTCAAAGAGAAACCGCCTTGGTCTGGGACTGGGAGACCGGCGAGCCCCTGCACAACGCAATCACGTGGACCGATACTCGTACCGTCAACCTGGTACGGGAACTGAAGGAAAGGCCCGGCGCCGACGAACTCCGTAATATTTGCGGCCTACCCCTATCCACATACCCCTCATCTGTCACACTACGATGGATGCTCGACCATCTGCCCGATGTCAAGTCGGCTTATGATGATGGCCGGGCTGCATTCGGAACCGTCGATAGTTGGCTCATCTACAACCTCAACGGTGGTCCTCAGAACAAGCGTCTGGTTACGGATGTGACCAATGCCTCACGAACCATGTTCATGAACCTCGAAACCCTCAAATACGACGATCGCCTCTTAAAGTTCTTTGACATTGACCCAACCAAGATCCGTTTACCCGAGATTCTTCCCTCAGCCGACCCCGAGGGTTTCGGTAAAGTTGCCGAAGGACCGCTGGAGGGTGTTCCCATTACCAGTTGTCTGGGTGACCAGGCTTCGGCCTTGGTCGGCCACTGTGCCTTTTCTCCGGGAATGGCTAAGAACACTTACGGCACTGGATGTTTCCTTCTTTACAACGTGGGCGAGAAGCCGGTTATCTCGAAGCACGGTCTCTTGGGCACAGTCGGTTTCCAATTAGGGAGAGACCGCAAGGCCGTCTACGCACTGGAAGGCAGTGTGGCCGTGGCGGGTAGTGGTGTCTCTTTCCTAATGAATAACCTCGGCTTCTTCCGCGACTCGCGTAAGGTCAGCGATTTGGCCGCCAGCGTGCCGGATAACGGAGGATGCATTTTCGTCACTGCGTTCAGTGGTCTCTTTGCTCCTTACTGGATTGATGATGCTCAGGGAACTATCTGTAAGTCTCCAACACGGTGCTTCGCCTTGCAGAACCTTAATCACTAACATTTCCTAGGGGGAATCACCGCCCACACACAAAAGGGACACATCGCCCGTGCAACCATGGAAGCGGCCTGCTTCCAAACGAAAGCTATTCTCGACGCCATGGCAATGGACAGCGGCAAGAGCCTGACAGAACTGGCTGTCGACGGCGGCATGAGTAACTCCGACGTTTGCATGCAGGTACGTTCCAATGTTTTCCTAATGTCCCCAGATTATATTGCTTACTGTTACCTTTGTATTAGACCCAAGCCGATATTATTCAAATCCCCGTCGAACGTCCCTCTATGCACGAAACAACTGCCCTCGGCGCCGCCATCGCCGCCGGCTTCGCCATCGACATCTGGAAGGATTTCTCCGAACTAAAGCATATGAATCGCGCCAACCGAGCCTCGTTCACACCCGCGATGTCCGTCAAAGCTAGCGGCCGCATGTATAAAAAGTGGTCCAAGGCCGTGGAGATGTCGCGCGGCTGGATGGCCGACGAGGACAGAGAGGAACACAATGACGACGAATAAACAAACTTTTATACATATTCCTTTGAGATGACCCCAACCGGTTCATCGACCCCGTGGCTCAATTCGTGCATCTCATCCCATGCACGATACATACACACGCACAAGAAACAAGAGAGGGATCTACATGAGGATCATATCAACCGGATATCGCACATATCCTCTCTTGGATACCCGGATGGTTTTTTTTTTTTTTTTTTTTTTTTTCGGGGGCGGGGGCGGAGGGGCGTCTGGACACACGTGTCCATTTATACATATTTAGAGAATTTCCACCGACTAGAAAGTCCGTCCTAATAGGCGTCTGCCAAAGCCCATGTCCCCCTTCATCATGACCGTTATGACGGGAGTCATTTGTTCCAGAAGATGAGCTGGGGATTTACTTTTTTTTTTTTTTGCTGTTGGCCAGTTTCCTCTTCTGGGATGAGCTCGACTCAGCACTTGTGTATATACAACCCATTTTTGAGGAAATGAAGAAAAAAAAAATCTAAATATCATTACAACTCAACAGTACAACCTAAACGTACTCTCTGCATTGGCTAGAATCCAAATAAGCAATATCACAACATTCCCAAAAACCAGTACTCATCGCAGATCCGGGAGAAACCATGATATCATGACAGTGGAGAAGCTCAAATTAAGGTTGATGTGACTAAGCAATTCCTGGGCGATGCCGTGAAGTCATGGTCCCCAGACTTGGGTTTTAGGGTTTACTATATTTGGATCTGGTACTTCGGGAATAGATACTGTCTAATCTTAGAAAATCTCATCGAATCCACAAAACAGATTTTCGTCGACGCCTTGAAACATGGACAATCCTGGCCAGATATCTTGACAACTCGGAAACCCCTGGTTCACTACAATGACGTTCCGAGAAGCCAATGACATTCGTCCATTCTCAACTTCATTCTTCCAGAACCTCTGGAATATACCCCGAGCTCTCGGTTATTAATTTAGCCTTTGAGTTATTTGATTTTCAGTCCTGGTAAACTAATATGGGGTTGTCGTTTGGACAGGCAGCACCCATAACGTGTGCGGGCGTAAGTTGATACAGCACCTCTCTAATCTCCCTATAGGCCAACTCTCTGCTTTCTCCAAGATGATATGGGATACCAGTCCCAATTGGTAGAATAGACTGACCGCGCGTGCCCAAGGCTCGTAGCGTTGGGTTTACTGAATGAAGAGCTGGCTAGAACAATGAAATAGAGTCATGTCAGGAACGCAATTTCCTTGTTAGAGCCTTTTGCAGTATCTATAGCAGAGGATTTGGATGTACCAGCATGGCCAGGCGCATTTCCGTCAACTTTTCGATCAACTTCCCCCTAGGTTTGTCGTGCGCCAATAACTACGGTCTGGTCTTCTGCGTTGTATTCGAATTTATCAAACGCAGACAATGAGACTAGTACACCGCTGGCAGATGAGGACCCGACCCCGGTACTTCGGATAGCCCAATCCAGATCAGAATGTGCTAGGAAAAAAAGTAAATCTGCGAGAGACGAAATTTTGCAGGGCCGAGCGATAATCTTGGGGGCCGCCCATGTGCAACTCTCTATTTTATATAGTGGAGAGCTTGGAAATATTATTTCCGAGGAAGAAAGTGGAAGTCGATCAAAATTCCGAGACAAATTTTTTTTTCATAGAATTAAGGATTATGAAGTGAAGACGACGGAAGTCGTCTAGGTCCCAGAACATGTTTATATTCAATGAGGCAAAGCGTTCGTAGATACATTACGTCATAACCCCATAGTCTACAAGCATATAAATAAGCTTAGATATAACCTGGGGAAGTCCCCGCCAATAGGCACCCGCAATGTGTCGGACTAATCCGAATGTTTAACTGTCAGAGCTACCCGCCCCTCCTCCCCTTCATCAAGCGCAACACTATAGAGCTCTTCTCCAAGCTCTTTGCGCTTGACCCAACGTTCGACCTCCCGGTCCTTCATCTGATCCGCCATCTCCAGAACCGCCAACGTGTCCTTCGAGTACACCTGTGAAACCGCCTGCCAGTGATTCCCTAACAAAGAATGGCGCGTGTATCGCGCAAACAGCCCCACGACAATGGCCATCACCACCCAGTGGCTAAATAATAGCCCCATCCCTACCCCGAACCCTGTCCACTGAGTCGGAATCAGCGCCGCGTGCGAGAAGGCGGTCTCGGCACGCTCAGTTCCATTGAGTCGCAGCAGCCTCTCGTAATAGACCATCTGGGTGAACAGTGTGAGGAGCGCCTGCAGGGCCACAGCAGGGCTTCGTGTCTGCTCCAGCGTGTCCTGGAAAAGACTGGTATATGACTCATGCGCGATGTAGATACCCGGGGGGGAGTCCCGGGACAGTATAATGCCCGGGTCAACCATCATTGTGCCCTCGTTCTGCATCCTTATTAGGATCTGAGCAAGGGCTCCCATGAAGGACCAGGCATTGGAAGCGCTAAGGGACCGGGATTTTAACCACTTTGTATCGGAGACATTCAAAACGGAGGTGGGGATCACTGGATCGGAGGACAAGGGTTGCCAATCCGAGCGGGGGGCGAGAACGAGCACGCCTCGCTGATTTAGTGGCTGTCGGGGTCTGATTGCACCTAGCTGGGTACGCATACTTTCGGTGTCGTAGCGCCGCATGGGTTGGTTCCAGGACATAGTGGGCTCCGACCCCTCCCAGTTGCTGTGTATGTCCGTAGTGAACGTATCCACTCCGAGATTTGCCATACAGGTTGTCACCCGCACCATAGGGTCATTGGTCACGTTTCCGACCATCACCCAGGGACTACTAGTGGTGTCGTTATTCCCCATGAGGCGGACCTCCTCCGTCCCGTTGTTGGGGACACCCGCCGAGGAGACGACGTCTAAAAGCATGAACAACGTGGATGCCTGCAGATAGCCGGGAACTATGCTCCCCTTATAGGTGGTAGGTCCGGGTGTCACTAGAGGGTCTTCGAGCAAGACCTTCCATTCCATGCCATAATCCGGCCAACATAAGCTCGTAAGTCCTTGCTTCTGGTTAGAGATCGGCATCGAGGTAGCTAACGCGCACGTAAATGGGAGGTAGGACTGGCTATCCGTACCATGTAGCATCGGATACGTGCCGTTAGCGATAGCCATCTGTCCAGAGAGACGTGGGAAAGTTGGGTTGAGAGCGTCGAGGCGAAGGTCACGTAGTTTAGGTTGCACACAGACAACACGTTGATCGCTTATTGGGACTGGGCCTCGGAAATAGCGTAATGATTTCCGCTGCACCCTCTCTAGATAGGGTAGGAAGGCACGGTATGTGTGACCTGTATCGTCGTACTTAGGCCCAGGTATCGGCGGTTCCGATTGCTCGGCAAACGTCCAACCGGCCACCGGAGGTATCGACCACCACGGACCAAGGAAAGGATCTCTGGTATAATTTAATTGTCGGATATTCGTCATGTTGCTGGTTTGGGTAAATGCGCCGTTCCCAAAGTCGGCCACGAGAAGGGTGGAAAGGAACTGCACAGCTATAATTACTGAGACTTCAAGGACAATAAGGGTCACGACCAGGACCGAGAGGCCATTTTCGCGTAACGGTAGACTAGGGGTCCATAGCAAGTTTGTCGGGCTCCCACTTAGAGCCCGCATAGTGGAATAGAATGGCCCGTCCGCTAGTGGAGAGCCGACGCGCTCTAGAATAATGCCCGCAAACATCGCGGTTGCCACGTTAGCCTGGGCCGTGACCACCGCTCGTAGAATGGCGGTGCAGATGGTGACGATCCGCGTGGTCCAGTTTGCTTCAATAACTGAGATCCAAACGCTGCTTGGTTCTCGTCCTGCAGCTGCTGCCATAGACTCAACCCAAAGCCAGGCTAAAGGTAGGACTGCTATGGTAAGTATGATCGAGCCGAGACACAAAATAAGGATTTGAGTTACCCCCAGCCGGGCCCACAGAGAACTTTCCTTTTTCGCGACTTTGACTTCATATTGAGCCTGGCTGGGGGCGTTCTTAGGCGCCGTCAGAGGAATGTACGCGACTGCGTCCACACCACTCTCTCTGGGGCGTGACATAGCAGGTCGTATCATAGCAGGTGGGTAGTAGCATGAAATATCGAAAAGGAGCACCTAACAGGGTACTAGAAGAAGAAGGATAGTCACATTAGGTGTATTGAATAATAGTGGCCCAGGGAGATGCCAAGCCTTCCCACATCCTTGCCTAGGTGCCTTGTGCTGCTCTACCTCATGGTACTTTTCTTTGGGGGCTAGAGAGGGAGCTCGGGTGCGTGATGGGTCGGGAGCACCCCAAAGTACTCCGTACTGCAAGTCTGATCCTTGACAGTTAGCCGGTGACCTGCTGTCGCATTTGCCAATACAAAAACTAACTCACGCAGGGGTATGGTTGAGACACCATATAGAGCCTGCACTGAGCAGAGAGGTGAATAGCGTCCGACAAATCAAGTCACGGGGATAGTGAGAGTGGCTTGACTACATATGTAGGTATGTACATACCACACCCGGCAGACTAGCTGGCTTAGCCACCCCACAGCCATTACTGATGGTGTTTATAGATGATGTACTTTTCGAGCTAGAGGTGGCTCTGTTACAGCAAGGATTCATACCTATTCAAGAGAAAAAGATCCGGCCAACGCTTTATGAAGCGCAGCCTCACCCATCAGCGTTCTGTCAGTCTTTTGACCGCTTATAGGAAAGTTGGGACTAGAAAGCAAGGGGGAGCACTACACACATGGGTAGGTGCCACCACTTTATAAGGGCGCTCAGAGTTCTACTCACTAAACATCTAGTTGCTCTATAAATATAGCGAAATATCTTATGGACAGTAAATCTTCACAATGGCTCCTTCGCATCAGTCGTAAATCCGTGCTGCATAAGAAACTCGTTGAGCTCCTTATCCTCTTTCTCCAAATCCAAATATCCGCTTTCAGGTAACAAGTAGTAAACAATCATGCCGAGGATAGCGACACCACCAGCCAAGTAAAAGGTGGAGCTATTGCCAGCACGGTCCTGCAGTGGGGTAAAGCACTGAGTGCCAACAGCAGCACCCGTTCTACCGAAGGCTGTCGCGACACCATATCCCATGGACCGCATGGCAGTGGGGAAAGACTCAGAAGATATAAGCCCAATGGTAGCGCCGGGTCCCATATGGCCGAATGCTTGCAACAGGCCATACAGGACAACAAAGGCCGCAATGTTTTGAGAAAGCTTGGAGTACGTGCCACCGATAACGAAACCCAGCACAACATATCCAGCGAAGCCCAGAATTCCCGTCCAGCGACGCCCAATTGCATTGGTAAGCCAGGCCCCCAACATAACGCCGGGAACTGGCAAGACCGCCAAAATGACCTGCCAAATAGCAGTCGTCCGGACATTGTGATCTGTAACCAGGGAGGAGATGATCGTGCTGGACATGATGCTGTTAGGGAAATTGATGAAATCATACAAAAAAAATGCCAGCGATGTAGTCAATAGCCTCCACCAATAACGCCGTGCAAGGAGGAGGCAAAGGCGCCAGGACTTCGGCTGCCGCTTGAAATTGGAATTGTGGAACAGAGACGAGTCCACCATGAACAGTCTCAAAACTACAATTGAGACTGGGAGGAGAGTGGCAATGGAGTAGATGGCGTGGAAGGCGATGACAAGATTGTTATCCGTGGCAATGAGTGTGATCAAATAGATAACCATCAAAATTGGACCCGCGGTTGTGGCCATCAAAGTCGTAAAGGACACAAACATCGGTCCTCTGTATTTGCGCATGATCTAAAATCAACCATAAGAATAAATCCATAGTAAGGGAACGGTTAAATACTTACCCAGTCCGATTCTTCGATTCCAGCAGCGGCACTAGGAGGGTATTCACCTCCAACACCGAACCCAGCAATTCCACGAACTATAACAAAATACCACAGCATATTACTTGAGGGATGCACCTGCAGAGCTAGTGTCGCCATCAAGGTACCGATTGCGACCAGGGAGGACGTGAAGAGCAATCCGGCGCGTCGTGAAAACATATCAGAAGTGTATCCGAAAACAACCACACCAAGGATCGCCCCGACAATGACGGAGTTGCTCATGCGGGTTTTCATCTCGGAAGAAAATCCATCGGCTCCAAGCACCTGCTTGAAAATAACATTCGTAGGATTGGCGAGAGTGTTTTGAAAGCCATCGCTAAAGTTGGCGATGTACTGGGGAGAGTTAATAGGTGAAGCTCAAGTCTGTCAATATCAAACTCACACAACTGATTATGGTAATATTACTCTGCCATCTGCTTGGACGATATGAGTGTGTCACTTCCTCAACATCCCCACTGACAACAGTGTTGGCATTTTTCGTCTCATCTTGTGAGGGGTTGGAGGGTAGCCCACTTTCAGCGGCCGCCATCTTTCACTTTGTGAGGGGCATAATCAATGCTTTCATACTGCTTGAATGCTGAAGGAAATATGCCAATCTTTATAGCTGATGCTGCCGATCATAAAAGATAAAACAGATCTTCGGTCAACGTCCGAATCTAGATATTTTTATGATATTTTCCGCGGAGATAAGCATTGTGATAAGTTCGTGATATACTTGGCGTAAATGGGCTTGGTATGTTACTTTGGTAAGCGGTTGAGTCATTCAGCTTATGTAACTAACAGTTTTACAAGCAAAGAGCGGAAACAAGCAACCCACCCGACCTAAAATCTGTATATCTGGCCGTGGAACACTGTTCTTGATAATGGACCATTCTTGCCTACTACGTTGGCAACGAATTAATCAACAGATAGATTGTGACATACCAGATACAACGTACAGGGAATATGTACAGATATCAATTCAAGCTTCAATGGTATTGCACACGCAGAAAAGCGGCGAGCTGATAACAAGAGTCAACTAGAATCTGACTCAGGCATGATGTAGAAGAGAGAACCAAGGAAAGATGGTATTTTCAATAGACGCCCGAATGATGGCGGGATGCACAGTGGAGATGAGAAACAGGGTAGGTGGGCGTGTCTGCAGAGCTAGCAAGAAAATAAGACATGAAAAATGAAAAGGGGAGATTACAGAGTGTGTAGAGGTGAACTTATTCATTGACCGTGGGTGCTCTTCCTGCTGCCGCAGACGGGTTGAGACTGGTCGACTGCAAAGCATCGGGAAGCTTCAGCGGCGCAGTAGGGGAGGAGTTCAGTTTATTGATCTTCTCGCCTTTCAGCACCTGTTCCATCTCCTCCTTTGTAAGCGTTTCGTATTCGATGAGCGCCTTTGTCAGAAGTTCCAGTTCCTTGCGCTTTTCGGTCAGGATGTTGGTTGCTCGGTCGCGGGCCTCCTCCACAAGCCGGCGCACTTCACCCTCGATCTCTTGCTTGGTTTCCGATGATAGACTATCATAGTTGGTAGACAGGTCGACGTTGCCCAGTTTCTTGGAATATCCGAACCGGGTGATCAGTGTGAAGGCCGTCTCGGTGGCACTTTGGATATCCTAATGAGGCGGTTAGTATCGAGAAATTAACAAAAAATACAACGAGTAAAACTTACAGCTGAGATACCACTAGTGACATTGTCGTGGCCGAAAACCAGCTCTTCAGCAGCCTTGCCACCCATGGAGACGGCGATGTCTGCCAAGTACTCGGTGTAGTTCCTCGAAACAGTATCCATCTCCGGCAGGAAGTGGGTGATACCAAGGGCCATACCACGGGGAACAATGGTGATCTTGTACAGCGGAGTGGAGGAAGGAGAGAAGTGCGCAACAAGGGCATGACCAGCCTCGTGGTACGCAGTCAAGAGCTTGTCCTTGTCTTGAATGATGCGACTGCGAGCCTCAGCGCCCATCATAATCTTATCCTTGGCCCAGTCGAAGTCGAACGACCCAACATTAGCCTTACGATCACGGCTGGCATGGACTGCAGCTTGGTTGACCAAGTTCTCCAGGTCAGCACCGGAGAAGCCGGGGGTGCCACGTGCAATGACTCCGACGTCAACATCAGCACCGAATTGGATTTCCTTCATGTGATGTCTCAAGATGTCCATTCGGCCGCGAACATCAGGCAGGTCCACAACGACCCTACGATCAAAGCGACCAGGTCGAGTGAGTGCCTTGTCCAGCAGTTGAGGGTAATTGGTAGCAGCAATGATGATGACACCGCTAGTCTGGGAGAATCCGTCAAGTTCCGTGAGTAACTGGTTGAGCGTCTGCTTGACATAAGCAGCATCACGCTCATTTCGCTTTCCACCTATCGCATCCAGCTCATCGATGAAAATGATAGCTGGAGCCTTGCCACGGGCCTGAGCGAACAAATCACGAACACGCTTGGCACCAACACCAACGTATACCTCGTCGAATTCAGATCCAGACATGTAGAAGAATGGGACACCCGCTTCGCCAGCAACAGCACGCGCAAGCAAGGTCTTACCAGTACCGGGAGGACCGACCAAGAGAATGCCCTTGGGCAGCTTACCGCCTAGGGAAGAGAAACGATCTGGGTTGAGAAGGAATTCCACCAGCTCCTGTAACTCATCTTTAGCTTCGTCACAGCCATGCACATCGCTGAAGCGAGCGGTTTGCTGCTCGGGCTGAGTTTCCTTGTCCTGCGCACCCCTAACGTTCTTCAAAACGCCTGTGGTTTCAACCAGGATAGTGACCGTGACCAGAGAGATGTAAGTGAAAAATCCGAAAATGAGCAAGAATTTGACCCAGCGGAACACTGTGCTTCCGAGAGACTCGTCGACCACAACGTAAAGAGGAGCATCCTTGGCGCCAGTGCCGTTTTGTTTTCCCATTCCGATTTGACTGCCAGTAGCCCGAGCAGCAACCGCTTGGCCGACTGCCTGGAGCTGTTCAGGGCTCAGATTGTGGTTTGACCCGGTGAAAGCTCCAGCTCCAGCTCCAGCTCCAGCGTCGGCGCCACCGACGCTTGACTGGGCCTGTTGGACCAATGCTTCAGTTGTGAGGTCGCTTGCAAAATAACCGCTCCGGTGTCGTTCGATAACTATACCCGGCATTTTGGCACGCAAAAGAGCCGAGTAGAAAGCATTTTGGGCATCTGCGTTGTGCGGGCTCTTGTTAGCGACCTTCTCCTTCT